CACGTTGTCTCTCTCACAGATAGATAGTGTGTGTGTGTGTGTGTGTGTGTGTGTGTGTGTGTGTGTGTGTGTGTGTGTGTGTGTGTGTGTGGAACACGGTGGCCAGCAGCAACAGGCTGAACATATGCTGCTCTTTTGCTAACTTGAAATGGAAGAAATCGAACTCTTGGCACTGCAATAACCTCACTCCTACCACTTGTACATGTGCTCTACGGATGCACATCCGCAGTTCAAATGACAAGAAGATGGTAACGTCGCTAACAGAAAGTTGAGTTGTTCTGTGTTTGACTGATGACGTTTAGAGTGCATATCAAGTACGCCAGGAGCTACTGAGTGCCAAGTCTATAACTTACTGACATCCCGAGTACATACCTACCTACCAACCTACCATTGACATTTGAAGTACATACCTTGTACAGACCTCATAGGTATTTACCCACGAGGGACCTACCGACCAAGGAATTACCTAGTACCTACCGAGTGACATATAGTAACCTACATATCCAACCTAGGGCGGCCGGGTGGTCGAGTGGTTAGCGCGTCAACCTCACAGTGCAAAGGTGCGGGGTTTCGATCCTGGCTCCGGCCTCCCTGTGTGGAGTTTGCATGTTCTCCCCGTGCCTACGTGGGTTTTCTCCAGGTATGGAAGTTGAAAGGAACACTCTAAATTGTCCCTAGGTGTGAGTGTGGGCGCAGATGGTTGTTTGTCTATACTGTATGAACCCTGCGATTGGCTGGCTACTGGTTCAGGGTGTCCCCCGCCTACTGCCTGAAGACAGCTAGGATAGGCTCCAGCACTCCCCACGACCCTTGTGAGAATAAAACTAGTGCCTACGGTCACATATACCTAATTCAAACGTAGTCCCTAAATACCTATCTACCTACTTGCTTTCGAGCTCCCTTGTACTAACTGATTGATTTACCGAGTACATATTATACCTGGTATGTGCATACCTACCTACCTACCTACCTACCTACCTACCCACCTACTTACCTACCTATCTACCCACATTGGAAGTACCAAGTACATACCGAGTACACACCTACCTAGCAGCCACTTTGGAACTACCCACCAACTGATGTACCAAGCACCGACTGACTGATATACCGACCTAGTACCTTGTGATTGTCCATTTCTGAAAACGAATGTCTGTTACAATAAATTCCGATTTTTCTCTCGTCATTGTATTTGTTGGGTTAGCTAGTTATAATGAGGACCGCTTACTTGGGAATTTTTCCAGTCCCTGGTTTAAAGTGTCCTCCACCTCGTTGTCTTCCAGAGTAATGGCAGCATCGAGGCGGCACTTCCTGCTCTGCCTGGCGGCGACGCTGCTGTCGTGGTGCAACGCCTCGCCGACTGACATCCTCTACCGGGTCCCCGAGGAGCAGCCGCCCAATACCCTGGTGGGCAGCCTGGCGGCGGACCGCGGGCTTCCTGACAGCGGGCACCTCTACAAGCTGGAGGTGGGCTCCCCCTACCTCCGTGTCGATGGGAAGACGGGCGACATCTACACCACCGAGATCCCCATCGACCGTGAGACCCTCAGGGACTGCCGCAACCTCTTTGAGGAAGACAAGTGCTACCTGGAGTTCGAGGTGTCCATCACGGACATGGTGAAAGGCATCGGATCGGGGCCTCGCCTCATCGAGGGCCGCATCGAGGTTCTGGACATCAACGATAACACACCCCAGTTCTCCTCGCCCATCCTCACACTGGCTATCCCGGAGAACACCCACGTGGGCGCCCTGTTCTCCATCCCCATGGCGACCGATCGTGACGCCGCCAGCAACGGCGTTGCCGAGTACACCCTGAGCACAGGACCCGACGCCGAGCAGCTCTTCGGACTGCAGGTGGCGGTGGACACGGACGAGAAGCTGCCTCAGCTGGTGGTCATGGGGAACCTGGACCGTGAGAAGAAGGACTCGTATGACCTGAATGTTCGGGTGGTGGACGGCGGCCGGCCGGCCAGGGCCAGCAGCGCCCTGCTCCGGGTGGTTGTCACCGACCAGAATGACAATGCGCCAAAGTTTGAAAGGAGTCACTACGATGCTGAGCTGGTTGAGAACAGCCCTCTGGGGCACTCCGTGCTACAGGTCAGTAGAACCTAGAAAGTACAGATGAGTAGATTTGATTTGAAAAGTAGTATACAGTGGGAGCTTTGTCATTTCTTTTTATTTAAGCCTTGCTAAGTTTTGTTGTGGTCTCTCATGGTACCGTGAGACATTGGTGCTGCCAAGTCCCGAAGGCTCAAAGGTGCCCAAGGGTTCAGCTTGCGGTTTACCATGGATGCAGTCCATTCCCACGCGTCGAATCTTCTGATGGTGTCCCTCATGTTTCTCACGCTCTTTCAAGACATCCCTCAACTGAAATGTGGACACCGGGCAGCTGTGGGAGACGATTGTGTCCGCGGAAGAGTCGAATGAAGCCGATTCTGCCTCCAGAGTCGGCTTAAACTGACGCTCATTCAATGTTTGATTTTACCTTAATTCTTTGGTTTACAAATGACCAGGTTTACCAACAGTTTGGTTCATGATTTTTTGGTAGGCTCAGAACTGTGCTTCTTCTTGCGCCACATCAATATCATTGGCTCCGTGCTTCAGCTATCTTTTGTGTTTTTCGGGCTTTTTTAGAGCATTTTCGAGTAGTAGCGTTATGGGTTTAATTAATACAAAATGTCTAAATCAATGAATAATTGTTTTTAGTCATCGTGACTTAAACATCAGTCAAAATAATAGGATGTTTTTTTTTTTTTCCCCCTTAATCGCCCAGCCCTAATTCTGCTTAAGACTGCCTGAAATTTCCCAGTTGAGTTCAAACTCCCAATTCCATTTCGGTGCCCTGAACAGTAACATGGAAAAAAAAGGCTTGATCTGGTAGTGTGAAAGGGGCGATATATCCTGCACCAATCATAATATCCCCAGTGTCACCCAATGTAATTTACGCCGCTAAAAGTGAATGATTTTTTGTGGAGGGGGAGGGTGCCAAATTTGGGAATATTTCCATCTCGTTCTACGGCATTTTTTATTCCTGACAAGTTTGGTATTTTTTTAGAAATCCCTTTGTAGCGGGATTGGTCGAGAGTGGTCCCTGCTTTCCAAGCTTGACTTCTGCCACTCAGCAAACCAGGCTTATCTTGGAATTGGGACAGTCAGGATTTGCCAAGGTGATAAATTCCACGAGTCACCCATGATGTTGCCTTGTTAGTATGTGACGTGGCGCTGGTGCAGGGTGCATTCGTCGCTATGTCGGTCGTAGGCAAACATATTCCGGGAAGCTCTTTTTTTTTTTTTTTTTTTTTTTTTAAACTTCTGTCTGGCTGACTCTGCGACAAACGCCTCTTCATCTTCCTCGATTCCCTGCTGCGTCCAGTTACCAGTCAGTCAGGAGATTATCCATGCGTCTTATTGCTATTATTGCCGGGGATGCATTTCCCCTTAATGCGTTTGAAGAGGGACAAAAGCGTTCTGTTTCTTTGATCTTGTGACGACAAGTGTTAATGTGCGATTTCAACGCTTTTGACTTGACTTTTGGTTGTTCTTCGGGAACGTGTCACAAGTTGAAGCTCCGCCTGCTCGCCAAAAGTTAGATAAGCAATTTGCTGATTATGGACATGATTAAATGAATGGGATTTGTAGTTCTTTTTGTGCTTTTTATTCCAGAACACACTGACTTTTTAGGCTTTTCAACAAATGTGAGTACCTCAAATGAGCTGTAATTGATCGATTTACAGTCATTGACATTTTCTGATCCTTAGATGCTGTTGTCCTTTTCAACACCAATCTCGTGGAATTCATTTGACATCGGAGGTTTTTAGATAAGGTTCGCTGCATCTTTTAGTTGCCAATCAATACAAGACGGGCGACTCGCAATCTCAAATTCTCACCAACAGGACATTGAATCGCGTACGTGAAAAGTCAAGTCGCTTTTTAGCGCTCAAGCGGAGACAATCGACCAAAAAAAGAAATGCGAGCTAAAGCGTCAGAGTGGGTCAACGCTAGTTAATTGTTAACGCAGAAGACAAACGGCGCTTCTGTTGGCCGTTTGCTCATCCGCTCGATAGGCAATCCTGCCCCGAGCTGTCAATAATTTACGGGCCGCTCGGAGAAACGTGGCGCTCCTTAAAACCTTCCCGCCTGGAAAGCAAATCAATGGTTCAGGAGAAATGATCTTCGGGCTTTTTTTTTTTTTTTTTTTCAACACTAACCGCTAGCGAGTGGAATCAGCAACTCCCGACTGTGGACTGTTACCCGGCATGCGGCAAAGAAGATTTTGATTAGGAGGTTGGATGAACTCCTCGTCTGCTCTGGCAAATCCCTCGAGCATTCTGTGAAGGGAAACAACCTTTCACACCCTGACGTTGCTTTAAAAGAGATCAGGGCTGCTGACTTCATCTTTTTTTTTTTTTTTTATGAAGGGAAAGAAAAAGACATGCAAATGTCTCCCAGTTTGAACTCCAAAGGCAAAGATAACTGGAACTTACAATATGTGACGATATGACCTTTGGGCGTTCAAACATACTTGTTTTGATGAGAGTTTCTTTATTTGAGAAGCCATACGAACGGTTTAGTGATTTGGGTTAAGGTTAGTGGGGTAGGGCTGATGGTTTACAGGCTAAGATCAGGAGGTTAGGAGCAGAAGTTGAGGGGTTTATGTAGGGGGAGGTTCAGTTTTTTTATTCTTATCCTGGGTTTGGTCCAACCCCAGGTGTTCCATGAGTCAGTCTCAAGAGTTCAGTGGAGGTCAGGTCAGTATGGGTCACATCATTGGTGAGGTCATGCTCACCTTGGCCATCTTTGGCTACGTACAGTTTGTTACAACATATATTTGCAGGCAATTTTCTATTTGAAGACGGTAGACATAAAAACAAAGACAAAATTGTTGCCAAAATATGAGTGTCACTTGACAAGGTGATTTTCTGAGCATGTCTCTGAAGAAAGAGTCAAAGTCACATTGCTTTCCAATAAATATTCATTGAGTTATGTTTTTTTTGTGGGTGGGTGTGTGTACGTGCGAAAATTCATGTTTTATTGATTTTGTTCTTCAAGATCAGTACATTTGACGCATGGTTCATATTGTACAGGGAAATATATACCTATGTTTTGAATTTGGACAATCGAGAGGAGCCAGATGAAGTGGCTCGGGCATATGATTAGGATGCCTCCTGGACGCCTCCCTGGTGAGGTGTTCCGGGCATGTCCCGCCGGCAGGAGACCCCGGGGATGACCCAGGACACGCTGGAGAGACTATGTCTCCCAGCTGGCCTGGGAACGCCTGGGAAGATCTGGAAAAAGTGGCTGGGGAGAGGGAAGTCTGGGCTTCCCCGCTGAAGCTGCTGCCCCCGCGACCCGATAAGTGGTAGAAAATGGATGGCAGGATTTTATTTTTCCAATTACCAAGAAGTGTTCGATGAACGCAGATACAGTATGAAACTTGAGATTCAGTAACTCCGGCAAGGTTCAGAACCACTGCACTCGAGGTCCAAGGTCAGCAGTTTAAGTTTTAGGCGCTAGGAGTTAGTTGCTAGGGGCTAAGGAGGTTGTTAGGGTTTCGTGTAAGAGGTTCAGATGGGTATCGGGGTTAAGGTTTGTCAGTTAGTCTGTAAGGTAGAAAGCAAACAGGTTTAGATGGTGAGCAACCTTCTGAGGGAATAACGCCCTCTCATTCCAAGAATCGGAGTGGGGCGTCCTTCAGTTGTTTGTACTCTCACCATGTTTAAAAATTCTCAGTGTTCAGTAAAGAGGATTCATTCTCCCTACCCGCCTATATACCGTGTCTTATTGAGCCATTTATTTATTCACAACAGGTATATTTTGTTCGAATTTAAAAAAAAAAAGTACATCTATGTTCTCTCATGTGGCCAGCTGCTAACTTATTTTTCATGAAAAATATAACACAAAGACAAGCACAGTTCTCCAAAATTAAAGAGGAATGGATGTTTTGTGCCAGGATGTTCGAACATTCAGGGCAGCTGTTTTAATTGTTATTTTGTTTTTGTTTTTTTCCATTGATTTGCGAATGAAACTTGCATTATTCGGTTGAGTGAATGCGCATCACAAGTGGCTGTGATGCGTCCTCCCTCATCCGCTAATGTTCCCTAGAGGAGACTGTGCTTTCGTCCTAATAAGAAGATGAACTTTAACGTTCACTCGTGGCCGTTAAAGGCCAATGAGCCGCCGCCGCCGCCTGTCTCAATGATTCCTGCTTCCAGCTGGACAGGGAGGGAAATGTTTGTAGCAGTAGCTGAGCCACTGCCTCTCATTGTGACTCTTTTCCGCAAGATCAAAAATAATCCGATTTCATGTATCTGCCGTCATGAAAGTAAGTGTTAAATGTGACCCGTTGGTAAGACAAACAATTCCACTACAATGTTATGTTGGAAACAACGTTACAGTTGTATCGGGTAAGAGTTTGTTAAGGTTATGTCTTCATGTGCGTGAGGGGTTTAAGGTTGGTGGGTTAGAGTGAAGGGTTGGGGTTACAGTTAGTACGTTAGTGTTTGGGGTGAAGGTCAGTGGGTTAGGATCTCAAGCAAAGGCTCGTGGATAAGGGCTGAGCCGTTTAGGATCAGGCTTTGAATAAAGTCAAGAGTCAGGGTAAGGACAGGATTGTTTTTTTTTTTTTTTTTTTACTGTACAGGTTCATATGGGTTCGGGTTAATGTTAGTTTAGGTGTAATGTTAGACTCAGTAAATTAAATATGATGTCAAGTCTAGGATTCGTGTTAAGGTTGGTTGTGTAGGGTCAGTGGTTAAAGTAAGTGGGTTAGGATTTCAAGTAAAGGTTAGTGCAATCGGCTTAAGGGGTTACGGATAGGCCTCAGGTTAATAAATGAGGTGTTACGGTTATAGGTAGAGGAAATGGTTAGGGTTCAGGGTTAAATTTTGTGGGTTTGGGTTTCGGTTAAAGGTTGTAGGTTCGGGATTAAGATTTGTGAGTTCGGGGCTATAAACTCCGTCTCCTTGAACATTCCTTCATTCATGTCAGCCAAACTGTTTAATTGGTCATTTCGTCATGGTTCTGAAATGACTGAAGACGGGCGTGTGGGAGTGAAGTGGTTTTGAATCGTGATTGAGTAAATGGATGCCGTCTGCCTTTTCAGGTCCGCGCCAATGACGCTGACATGGGCACCAACGGCGAGATCGACTACAGCCTGCACCAGATGTCCGAGGCAGTCCAGAGACTTCTGCGCATCGACCGTTCCACTGGAATCATCTACGTAAAAGGCATGGTGGACCGCGAGGAGGAGAGCTTCCTCAAGTTCTTTGTCGTGGCCAAAGACCGAGGGCCAAACTCCAAGAGCTCCAAAGTCCTGGTGACCATCAACGTCCGGGACCAGAATGACAATGCTCCCACCATCGAGATCCGTGGTATCGGCCTTGTAACGCACCAGGATGGAATCGCCAACATTTCCGAGGACATGCCAGTAGACACTGCAGTGGCGTTGGTCCAGGTGTCGGACCGCGACGAGGGGGAGAATGCGATCGTGACGTGTGTGGTGGCCGGCGATGTCCCATTCCAGCTGCAGCCTTTGGGTGAGTCCAGCAATGACCGTAAAAGGAAGTACTTCCTGCAGACCACTACGCTGCTGGATTACGAGCGAGTGAAGGATTACAGGATTGAGATCGTGGCAGTGGATTCCGGCAACCCTGCTTTGTCCAGCACCAACTCCCTAAAAGTGCAGGTCACTGACATGAACGACAACACGCCCACCTTCTCCCCAGCCATTGTAGAAGTGGACTTTGCTGAGGGGAACCACCCTGGCGACAAGGTACTACAGGTGGCGGCCGCCGACGCCGACAGTGGCAGCAATGCCGAGCTGGTGTACAGCATCGTGGAGCGCTCTGCCACTGCGCTCTTCGAAATTGATGGCAGCAGCGGCGAGGTTCGAGTCAAAAACCTGCTGGACCGGGAGAAGACAGAGCGCTACGAGTTCCGCGTGGCGGCGGCCGACAAGGGTGTCCCAAGCAAAACCGGCACAGCGACAGTCGTGATTAACGTCCTCGACCGCAATGACAATGACCCCAAATTCATGCTGAGTGGATACAGCTTCTCCGTCATCGAGAACATGCCACCGCTCAACCCAGTGGGGGTGGTCACTGTCACAGACTTCGACAAGGGCGAGAATGCCCGAGTCAAGCTGTTTGTTGAGCCCGACAACGGCAAGTTTGTCATTCAGAACGGCACCGGAAACATCCTGTCCAGCATCTCCTTTGACCGGGAGAAGGAAAGCACCTACACCTTCCGGCTAAAGGCAGTGGACGCTGGCGACCCCCCTCGATCCTCCTATGTGGGCGTCACCATCAACGTCCTGGATGAGAACGACAACGCCCCCTATGTCACCAAACCTGCAAACTCGTCCTACACGTACCTGAGCCCCGTCACGCCACCGGAGACCCGCGTGGAGGTGGTGGAGGCCGAGGACATTGATTCCGGACCCAACGCCGAGCTGGACTACACCATCACTGGGGGTAACCCATATGGACTGTTTCATATTTCGCCTACCACGGGGGAGATCACCCTGGCACAGGAATTCACCGGCAAACACAATGGGCTGCACCGGCTGGTGGTGCAGGTTCGGGACAATGGGAAGCCGCGCCGTCACACCACCGCACTAGTGCATGTCTTTGTCAACGACACAAAAGCCAACGTGTCGCTGATTGAGGCCTTGGTGTGGCACAGTCTGTATACGCCCCTGGACCGGGACATTGCGGGGGATCCCAACTATGCCCTGGCGCAGCGTAGTAACATCCTGTATGGAAGCCTGGCCGGGATCGCTGGGGTTATCCTGGTCATTGTGGCTGTGGTGGTCATCCGGCACAGGTTCCAGAAGGACACCAAGAGCGGCTACCAGGCGGGCAAGAAGGAGAGCAAAGACCTGTATGCCCCCAAGCAAGGACCCAAAAACTCCAAAGGCAAAAAGAGCAAGAAGGGCAAAGCTCCAAAACCAGCCAAACCTCTGGAAGAGGATGAGGAGGCCAGCCTCCAGAAAGGCCTTAAGTTCAACCTCATCAATGAAGCTGTAAGCGACAGCCCCCGGATACACTTGCCCCTCAACTACCCGCCCGGTAGCCCCGACTTGGGGCGCCACTACCGCTCCAACTCGCCGCTGCCATCCATCCAGCTTCAGCCGCAGTCGCCCTCGGCCTCTAAGAAGCACCAGGCGGTGCAGGACCTCCCGGCCACCAACACCTTCGTGGGCACGGGCGACAACAACTCCACCGGCTCCGACCAATATTCGGATTACAGCTACAAGGCCAACCCGCCCAAATACAGCAGCAAACAGGTAGGACATTACGCAAACGCGCCCATGTACCAGCGGGACATCTATTGGACCGACGGGGTGTGGTAAATTGGCCCCGGGGACGTACGTAGACCAAAGTTGCACTCACCAAATCCCGAGCCGCCCCCACCACCACGTTCACCTTCATTTTTCCTTTTTTTTTCCGTTTGCTTTGTTTCCCTTCATTTTTTTTTCTTCATTCACCCTTCACGTGGACGTCATGAAGGATGCAGGATAGACCACATGGGTGGTTCCCACTGAGACATTTTGTGGCTTAAATCCCCCCAAAAAGGGGCATTTGAAACTTATGTGGGTCTAGCCTTACTCTACTGTATTGTTTGTTTTTACTCGTGGGTTCAATGAAGGAGCTTTTGCAAGGGTTCCCTTACGAGTATCGACCTCTCACGCCGCCGACGTCCCGGTTCAGTGTCTTTAGTTTATTTGACAAACCACCACTGTGAAATCCTCACTTTAATTTTATGTCTTTTTTTTTTTGTTGTTGTTGTTATTGTTACCATAGTTTAAAAAAATGTTTTCTGCTTCCATTTTTTTTTAATTGTTGAGAGATTTCTATTGGCTTTGGACTGGTTGAGCTTATTTTTGAGAAAGAAATAAAAAACAAAGAAAGTTAGGACGGTCCTTCAGTCGATGGTCGTCACAATCACCCGAGCTCCCAAGAAGTCAAATAGTTTGCACAGACTCTCGGTGGGTAATGTTGGCCTTCTTTTATTACCCACGGTGCCTTGTTCTAGTTAATGTCCTCAGCGTGTGCGTGTTATGTGTGCGAGAGAAAAGTTGTTCTTGGCTTCATGAGGCTGTCAAAAGTCCAACAAAAATAAGAACGGACAATCAAATAGAGACCACATAGGGATAAAAAAAAGTGTATATAAAGAAAGAAACTACTGAAACTTCTTTGGGATGTTGGCCTTTAAGGTGAGATTTCAGGTTGAGCCTAAAATGCACACGAACCTTTTATAGGTAAACTTTATTTACTCATAGGCTTTTCAGTTAGTCTTCCAGTCTCATTGATGCAACCTGCGAATGACATTTAAAGCTCAGTGGCCAGCTCCTCGTTAGAAAACATAAAGCGACTGAAACATTCAACAGTTGAACATTCAAAGTTTCCACAATGTCAAATCAAGCTGACCTTTTCCAGGAAGTGGTGCAGTTTTAAAAAAAAAGCTTGACAACGTTCTCATAAATTTTGACCGATATGCCACAGGAGTGACATCGGAAGTTAGCCCGTTGGCATTGAGTGAAAGGCGTCTTTATTCTCACACCCTGTAGATACTTTGCACTACATGATACAAGTACATATTCCTGATGGTGTGTGCGTTTCACTGTTTGATCCTGATCTGCCGTTGGTGTTGACGACACATGCACGCACGGGCAAACCAAAGACCTGCACACACACACACACACACACACACACACACACACACACACACACACACACACACACACACAAACACACGCTTGACACCGTAGGTATCAAACTCCAGGATCGAGGAGCGGAGTTTGACACCCCGTCCTTTGCACTCATTTTAAATGAGTTTTCCCAGTGTTCTTCTTCCTCTTCTTGTTCTCTGCCTGAACTTCATGTACATACAATGTTTGTATCGTTCTTTATTTGTTGTTGTTGTTGTTTTTTAAATCGAGTTAAAAAGCATACTTCATTTCAATAAACATGCTTCAATGTGATTGCTTGTGGCGCTCTCTGTGCTTTCACTCATTGCTTGATTATGATGAGGATGATGGTGAGGAGGAGGAGGAGGAGGATGACGACAGTGATGCTGGAAATGGTGGAGGTGATGTTTTCATTTTCATCCTTCACACGTGGAGATCAAATGTTTTGCATATCGGAATAGCATTAAAATATTAACTTTAAAATTAAAAAAAAAAATCTAAAAATTGTTATTAGTGAATAGGCAGGAAAGAAATACAGAAACAAAAACATTTTATCTCCATAAGTGTCACGCTTTCATGTCACATCAAACACACACAGGACAAACACGTCACCATTTTGCCATAGCAACGCTTAAGTGTTGAAGCAGGAAGGACCATGTCTGCTTGCTAATGTGGCATCCGTGTGTGTGTGTGTGTGTGTGTGTGTGTGTGTGTGTGTGTGTGTGTGTGTGTGTGTGTTGACTCAAGCACACGCACACATATGACAGTTATAGCATGGTCGCATGTCCTTTTCAGGTGTGTGTGAAGCCACTTCGAGATGACACACGAACAGAAGGTTGACAAAACGTGCTTAAGACCTCTTACTTTCTCTCCTACTCTTCTACACCTTCCTGGCTTTATAAAATAAATTACATGCTACCTTTTCCACTGCATGGTACCTACTTGGCATTGGCAAAAGTAGATGGTGGTACTTCTAGTACCTGGTTTTAAGTGTGCCTAGCAGATATCACCTGGGATTTGTGTCTCATCGCTCTAACACTTTAGTTCCGAGAAGATCTTTATGCCATAGAACTGCTACCCTGAACCCTAGAACCAAATTCACCTTACACCCAGACAAAAGTCAACATCACACCTTGGAACTTGCTTCATCTTACGCAGTCGACCAAATCTTAAAAGCACATGCTAATATTAGCTTAATCTGTTGCTACACCCGCAGTCTCCTTTTGGAAAAAAAAGCTTAACAAACTCTTGATCTACATTTATGTTTGTTAGCATGTCTCCTTGCGGCAGAGGCATTCAATGTGGCATGTCATCTCAGTTTCATGCAGACAGAAGTCCTGTCAAGAGGCACAAGCGGGAACTTATTAGCATGACGCTAGTCAAGTGTTGTTTGACTTCATGTTGGAACGTGTTTCATTGACAGCTGGTGGTGGTGGGCTGAGCTACGCGTGTGTGTGTGTCTGTGTGTGTGTCTGTGTGTGTGTGTGGGTTGGGAGGCTGGGTGAGCATCCACAATGGCATCTTTATGCGACTCACTTCCCATTCCAACTGTGACACAACACAAAACAAACATTCCACAATTCTCCACGTAGAAAAAAAGCATTCTGGAACCCATCGTCACAAAGTACCACCGCACGATTAAAATGAAAATACAGTAAAAATACTCCCCCTTCAAAGGCTGCGGTACGAACATTAGCCATGAACCAACGTGTGAAGCACAAAGAACCTTGCATTCAAGAAACAACACTTTCTTACATCCGAGAACCAACTTTACAGCCAAGAACCCACTGCATTTTACATCTTAGAACCAACAGCTTCCCTAAAAGACTTATCACACCCAAGAACCAATGACACCTTGCTCCCTAGAACCAACCTTATAACCGAAAGTCGAATATACACTTTTCACCCGAGAACCATCAATGCCTTACATGCTAGGACTAACCTTACAAACTTGAAGCTATGCACCTTACCTCTGAGAGCTTACAATGACTTACAAAACCTTAGGCCTCAGAACCAACAACGCTTCACACTCTTCACATCTTCACATACAACCATACACCCTAGACTCAGCAACGCATTAAGCCTTAAAACCAAGAACAGGCCCAAGACCTACATCTTATACCTTAGACCCAGTACACCTCACAAACTAAAACTGACCTTACATCCAAAAATCTAATACACCTTACACCCTTGATCCACTGACACCTTACATTTGAAACATTGCGTATGCCTTTGTGTACATGTGTGAGAATGCATTTGTGTGTGTGTGTGTGTGTGTGTGTGTGTGTGTGTGTGTGTGTGTGTGTGGGTGTGTGTGTGTGTGTGTTTTTGTATGTGTCTGTTTATGTGTGTGTGTGTGTGTGTGTGTGTGTGTGTGTGTGTGTGTGCGCGCGCGTGTATTGCCACCTGCTCCAAACAACACAAGCGAAGTGGAACGGAAATCCGCCTGAGGCACGCGCACACGCAGACACACACACACACACACACACACACACACACACACACACACACACACACACACACACACACACACACACTTGAGGATTTTACAATTTCACAATGTCATCTGTCAGTCTTTTACATGGTTTTCACGCTCTTTTATTAGCAACATGCTAACGTAGTAGTTCCAAATTTACATACATTGATTTGAACCTGAGAACACAATATGTCACGTAATGTTAGCTTCAGACGCTACACGTGTCACTACTATGCTAGCGTTGGTGAGCTAACATCATTCATTTTCTGAACCGCTTTATCCTCACTAGGGTCGCGGGGGGTGCTGGAGCCTATCCCAGCTGTCTTCGGGCAGTAGGCGGGGGACACCCTGAACCGGTTGCCAACCAATCGCAGGGCACACAGAAACGAACAACCATTCGCGCTCACACTCACACCTAGGGACAATTTGGAGTGTTCAATCAGCCTGCCACGCATGATTTTGGAATGTGGGAGGAAACCGGAGGACCCGGAGAAAACCCACGCAAGCACGGAGAGAACATGCAAACTCCACACAGGAAGGCCGAAGCTGGAATTGAACCCGGCACGTCTGCACTGTGAAGCCCACGTGCTAAGCACTCGACTACCGACGCCCTAACATGATACAATTCATCATAAAAGAAATTATGGGATTTAAATGAGAAAGTCTTCAAAGCTATGTTAAAAAAAAAAAAAAAAAACTGCGTTCGTGTGTATGTGTGCTTGCATATGTGTGTGTACTCACAGTGATGTGAAAACTAGCGGACCACATAAGTACCAAGAAAAACAAGTTTGCATTTTAGTCAATGTCAGAAGTAAGTAAAAGTATTGGACTCCTCTGGGGCACCAAACAAGTTAGCGTGTGTGTCGATATCAGTGTTAGCAGGTGTTAGCCGTCTGCGGAGGTGGAGGAGGTCAGTGCACCGGCGTACTTGTAGGTGGGGTTAAGGGTTGGAAGCGGGCCAGCTGCTCTCTGTGCGTGTGCAGGAGAACACGCAAGCAACAGCTACATGCAAGAACACAAGTAAAAATAACAAGAACAAAAGAATCAACTCGGACTACTTTGTGCATCACATGGAGGGTAGTTTCGTCAGTGTTGCTTTCAGTTTGTCAGATGCTAACAT